GAAAAAAAATACGGTTTAGGGTTGCTTATAGCCCTAAGGATCGGGCCCCCCCAAACAACTTTTCCCGAACTTGATTAGGGGCCCCCCGTTTATTTTGATCCGGACTTGTTTGGGGGGGGGGGTTTATAATCAGAACCTGGCATTAGTATACTATGGGAGTGGTGCGTGGCACTCTCTCATGTGTAGTGGTTCCACTCAGTCTCAGGCTCCGCAGCGCGATTTGGGTGCGTCGCTTCTCGAAACTCGTCCTGAGATAACCACAAACCCAACATGACCTAAATGGTTGCGAGGATCCCGCAATGACCTTTAAACTGCAATTGTCTGGTGCTGTGCTGAAATAGTAGTAGAGCCCTCTGCCCCCTGAAGTCATCCGCAAAATTTCCGGCATAGCATCAAAAAAACGCTGACTGGCTGAATGATGCATGATTTTCACTGTCAGGTTAGGAGCTGGGGAGGGGGGCGTGGGGGGTTGTCGGGGTGGCGCTGCTCATTGTCAGGGGAGTCAAATGTCAAATGATGGACCTTGGCTTGTGTGGTGTCGCCTATGTCCAGGCTTGATTTGACAGCAGTGCACTGGAAAGCCTGGCTAGCTGATGAGATGTACGATGCACGCTGCCGGCCAAAAGCACCGTAGGGACAGGGCTTAATGCAGATAAGATTCCCAAAGCCACTTGTGCACTTCAGCGTTAATCAAGGCTGTTCCGCCTAGGCAGCACAGGATCTGCCCGCAAGTCCGGAGTCTTCAAGTACAAGTCTAGACCAGTGTGTTGCATGCTGCTTAAGCAATTTAAGCATGTCATTGTTGAGACATCAGCCCAGGCCGGTTATGGCCAACGCCACAACCCGTCGGCGCCTGGATCGACAATCGCATCACGTCACTAGCTGAGGCAATCAGCCTATCCAGGAGATGCCCAACATTTTTTTGTCTGCTTGCAACTCATCTTGCAACCCCTTGAACAGCTGCTCCAAGAAGCACCAAGGCCCTTTCGTCAAATGTGGAAGTGATCGTCCAGTCGAGCTGAAGGCCTAGCAAACTGGCAAAATCGAAATAGAGCAACAGACTGTGGGCCACTGCGTACATAGCTCTCATCTGCAACAAAGAGGCTGCAGCTCGGCCATGTTGAAGAAGCGAAAATGCTGGGCCTTGACGGACACTGACTCGTATTTCTGTAGACCCTAGCATGCCTGCCGTGCCGACAAAACATGGCTGTGGATCAAAACCCCGGTTTGTCGCGCCCCCCCCCCCCCCCCCCC